CAAGGTTCACCCCCCACACCGCATCAAAAAGAGAAGGAAAGACTGTGAATGCAACTGAAACTATTGAGCAGATGTAGATTTGACTGAAAAGGTACTTTACCAATAAATATGTCATGGTTAGGAGTCTTAGCTGTGAAGCTGGCAGTGTCAGTGCTTATACCCGGTAGGTGGGCACCATCACTAGGTTTACTTAGGAAAGGATTTAGGTTTGAGATGGTCTCATCGCCAGCTTCAGAAGAGAATGGATCTGCACTCCCAATTCACAGGACAGGACAGGACAGCAGAGAGAAAAGAGCACATACAATATAGCTGGTTAGAAAGAGACGTACATGCTAAATCGCATCTACAGGACAATTCAGTGAACAGTGTTAAATCGACAGATACACAAGAGATGAAAAACACAGCTACAAGGAAGCAGAAGAGAACCAAAAAAGACAAAAATAAGACATCCTAAAGTAAAGCAAACAAGAGTAAGAGATAAACTCTCATGTGTTTTGGACCCCGTTGTGTACACCTCACCGACACCCCTTCCTATGTGTTTTGGACCCCGTTGTGTACACCTCACCGACACCCCTTCCTATGCGTTTTGGACCCCGTTGTGTACACCTCACCGCCACCCCTTCCTATGCGTTTTGGATCCCACTGTGTACATCCCTTCCCAAAATAACAGTGATTCCAAATTTCACAAGCAGTCACCGGCTGGCAAAACCTGGAACTGTGATCTGACTATAAAACACAATTTCACATGAGTCAATTGGCCTGAATGGTGGGACTTCTGTTATCCAACACTGTTTATAGGAGTAGGCTTCCTATGCATGACCTCACAAAAGTATCTCAAGCAGTTCGGGCCAGTTCTCAACACAAAGTCTGCATTCCAGTGCGTTCTGCCTTTGGAATGCAAGCCAGCAGGCTCCCTGCGTCAGGGGCAGGAGGGGGCGTGGCAGTGCATTGAAATCAAAGGCACCCCAGCCACGCCCCACAGTGCGATCGCCTGCACCCGAACGTGTGGCACAGTGCAAGCACTATTTTTGCAGATCGCACTGGACCGGAATGCAGGCACTAATGTGCCACTCGTTCGGGTGATCGCACTGCAGGACCATTGACTTTAATGGACCGTCACGCCTCCTTGCGTTCCAGTGGCCGAATGCTCTAGACTTTGTAGTGTGAACCGGCCCTTAAGGGATTCTTTGTACGGGAATCCATTTGAAGCTCATATGAAACCATGTATGCACAGTGCTCCAATCAATACCCTACCCTTTGAGCATTGATGGGAGTACTGTGCAGGGGAGTGTCAGACCGCTGGGATCCAGAGCTGTGCTCTGTTATAACAATGGTCCAGATGTTCAGCATGCTGCTGACACAGGGCAGCTTGACATTGTAGTAAAACAATTTTAATGCATTGAAAAAAAATAACACTTTATATAATTTGCAGCCTGAATGCCTAACAATGATAAAATACATGGCTTCAACTAGGCTTTAGACAATTCAACGCTCGGTTAAACCCAGAGGGAACATCTAGGCGTACAAAAAAAAAAAAAAAATCTAAAAGCACCTACAAAAAATAGGAATGGGAACACAGTTACATTATAAAACGGCAATACATCAAGAGAAATTCCTCCATAATCTTATTAGGTTCCAGCAGAATAAAGTTTTGCTATTTCTTGGAAAGCCTATCCTAACTCTTCCCCATAGTTTGGATAACTCCATCTTCCCAGGCTATGAGCAGATTTATAGGGAATTAGGGGAAATCTCTTTTCCTGCTCCTGTCTGCTTTTTCAGTCCCATACAGATCTGGTCACAGTCATCGCGTCATGGCTTCATAACGTCCAATCTGTTATTCTGAGATTATGGCAAATTAGGAGTCTGCTCTTCCTATTATCTAGCCACAGATACAAACTTCCCCTCCTCTACCTCTAGGTGCTTCTCTTTCCTTATTGCTCTTTAGCACCACTCCTACAAGATCATGCCTGCTATTCACACATTACCCTGTGATTGCCCCATATGGTCTAAATAGATGGATTGAGACCATGAAGGCTTCGTGGATTGCTCCAAGTCTCCTCATAGCCATACTTTGCACTGTCAAGCTGCTTATGTGGAAGGTCAATATAGCCTTTGTTACTTGGGTATCAGATTGCTGTTAGCACTGCATTTATCCATGGGACAAGGTCTTCTGCTTGTGGGGGTGGGCCATCAGTCTTGCCGTCAGGACTTGTACCCCTGGTCTACATTGATGTACTAATGTGAAAGCTCCCCTTTTCAGTGGGAAATGAATTGTTGAAAAATGTTGTTTAAGGACAAATATGCCTTTACAAATCTGAATTGTAAGTCCCACTTACAAGTGTTCTTATTCTGACATTTATTTATGAGAAGCTGGTGTCCAAAAGCCCAAGATAAATATATATACAAATTCTCTCATATTCTCTTATTTGATTGGCATGTTTCTGGGTTATACATAGTTAAATGTCTGAGCAAGCAAAATTGTGTTCTTCAGTATATTCCACAGAAACCAGTTTGAGATGTCTCCAAAATGCTAAGTCTTTGCAAATTGCATCTCTCATCTCTGTCTACTTTACAAATCCCCCGCCCCCCCCAGGTTGTCTCATGATTCTTATATCATGACTAGATTTGTATACGTGCATGATTCGAAGGCACGGTGCAGACCTCCACGTCCCAGGTTCGCACGGTCCTGCACAATGCAGGCAGCGATTGCAACGCGGCCCCGTTGATTTCAATGGGGTGACAACCGCGTGACAATCGCAGAAAAAAAAGGTACATGTACCCTTTTTTGTGATACACAACGAGCGGCTGTTTTTGCCGCCATTGTGTTCGAGAGCACGGGCGGAATCGACGAGCGGCTGTTTTTGCCGCTATTGTGTTCAGAAGCACGGGCGGAATCGCGGCAGGAAACGGCGCAATCTGCCTGGCTTGACTGGGGTGCCATTAAAAAATAATGGCACCCACAGCACGATCGGTTCACACCTTGGCAAATCCTGACCGCACGGCAATCCGCAGGAAATCGTGCACGATTGCCACACGGTGAGGTGTCGCCTAGGTGTGCACCGGCCCTAATTTGTTTATGCTCCGTCATCGCCCTTTTAGTTTCACATATAACCATTTATTTTAACAATAAGTCTTTGAATACACAATTTGGTGCGACTCTATATTCCCAAGTACTTGTCTGAAGCTGGCAGCACGATCGAATCCCGGGAAAGCTTAACGAGCTAAGTCGTATCAGGAGGCGTGGGTTCGAGGCCCACTATTAAGGGTTCGAGTCCCTTCAGAGTCACTTTCCCGAGAGACCCGAACATACTCTCTAATTTACTCTGCTTATGCGACTTGTCACAGAAATTATTCAGTTCCCTTGCTGTACTCATAAATTTACGGTTCTTTTTACAGTCACGCTAACAGCTGAGTTGGAAACATCCCTTTATATCTCATTCTGGAAAAATTAAACAGGATTTACAGTGCTAAGCGCCATCCCCCTGCCTGAAGCCACGTAACACTCCAGTGAATAATACAGCATGTTCCAGGCTCAGGAAAAATCCTGCCGGCAGTAAAAATGTAGACACGCTCCTTACCTCCCCATGTACTCGCTACTTGTGGCACGGCGCTCAGCGGATGCACAGCTGGCTGGAAACTTGGCTGCATGTCAAGCAAGTCATTTGGCAGCTTGGAAGTGCTGAGGAGAGAAAAGTACAAGGAGTGTTATGTTATGTCTGAGCGATTAGACGCAGCCCACACAAATACTTCACCCGTGCCACGCAAACTCCTACAGTCTGTTTAAAAAAAAAAGGTGACCTGTTCTCCGGGAGGGATGACAGAATCCAAAACATTAATTTACATAAATACCAACAAACAGGAAAATGACAAGCTGCGTCACGAGGCAGAGAACAGCGTGCTAATTATACATGTGCAAACTGTACAAGTCTCTCCAAAGATGAATGAAGAGACCCTGTCACCACAGAAAAAAAAAAGTATTTTAAACCCCTTACTGCCAGATGTAAATATATACTCGTAAGTTGGCCCGGTGCTCTGTACTGAGAGCACGGTCCTGATCATGTGACTGCAGTGAAACAAATGGCAGATATACGCATTTTTAACTAGCTTCTAAAGTAAGGTGCACACGGAAGGTGTGATGCACAGTACAAAAGTTTCCCAGCACACTCACCAGCCAGCAAACAAATTACACTAACAATTAGGGTTAAAAACAGAGGTTTTAGCTGCACAACTTTTGCAAAATATGTGGAAACCACACTGCCTCGTCAAGGCCCCTCTGTGTAGTGTGGTCCTAACTCTAATCTACGAGAGCCTCCATATTGAAGCATACATAGCAAATTATGCATTGCATGCAGATTCACAAGGAGGCAGACTATTCCTCCTTAAAGGAGAACTATGAGGTGACTGAAAATCACTCATCCTCATAGTTCTAGCCGACGTGTGACAATGAAACTGTCACAGGTCGGCTCAATAGATTGGGAAGTGAGCGAACACATACCGTCGCTCTCTCACTTGTCGATCTATCCCTGTAGAGAGCCATGACTGTCACTCACGGCTCCTTGCAGGGATTCCCCCCTCCCCGCTCCGATCCTCCAGCACTGACTGGCGGAACGGACGGGGAAGGGTACAGCGGGCTCTGCCTCCAGATAGACAGAGCCAGCTGTCAATCACGCAGCTGGGTGGATCGACCGTAATGTCGGGATCCGTCCGTAGCTTGCGGTATACTGAGCTTTGGGTGACGGGAGGAAGCTAGTTTGTGTCCTCCCGTTCCCCCTTATGAGAACTATGGGGAAAAGCCCTGACCCCATAGTTCTCTTTTAAAGGCACAGCTGTGCAACTAAAACCTCTATTTTTAACCCTATTAGACGGAGTAATTTGATTGCAGGCTGGCAAGTGTGCTGGTAAATGTTTGCTTTTGTACTCTGTAAATCCCTTCCATGTGCACTCTGCTTTAAAAGTGAGTTATGACTTGCTGCTTAGCCGGGAGGTGTGTAAGGACTCGCCACATGGCTTCCCAATTAGCAGGGAAGCCGACTCCATGCTTCTCGTCACTAATTGACAAGAAAGCATGGAGCCGGCTTCCTGATACCGAAGTATCGGGCGAGGCATCAGAGCATTTGGGTGAGTACCAGTACTCGCCCAAATACTCGGCATTGATACTAGTATCGGTACATCCCTAATATTGTGTAAAGCCCTCCCACGTGCACCTTACTTTAAAAGCAATTTATAAATTGATTTGAGTGCATGCAATTTGTTTTGCTGGATTTGGTGTGGGGACACACTCCAATCTTCATCTGTCATTGTGATGTGAAGTATAAAAGTAATACAATGTCTTCATTTGGTAATAGCGCATTTACAGGTAACCTTCAGCAAGAATTAGTTGAGTGTATGCAAACTAACACGGAAAGGGTTTCGTTATATCAGTTTGACAAGCAAATCGGTGGCTCCTGCCAGAAATCTAGTGAACTTGAAACTTCCTGTGGATTTGGTAGTTACCTGAAACCGTGTTATCAGTCTGCACGGGTCCTCTCTGAACTACAGAAGGATTAAGGTGGAGATGTATTCAAACAATTCATCCCCACACAGCTACCTCCTCATGTATCACTTCCCCCTCCCCTTTTAGACTGTAAGCCCTCAGGGGCAGGGCCCTCCTTACCATCTTGTCTTGAATTGTATTGTGATTGTAATGTCTTCCTTATATTGTAAAGCGCTGCGCAAAATGTTGGCGCTATATACATACTATGTAATAATAATAATAATAATAATGTTCTGTAGTCCTAATCCTAACACCATCTGCCCTAGGGTCACAACTATGCTCCTCCACGCAAAGTGCTGTCAGTGAGGCACAGTGACCACGTTTTTTAAAGCTCAGATGTCCAGACCAAATTCAGCATCACTAGTACGCATCAGTTACTTGACAATAATGCTATCAGGCCTGAGAGGCCTGAGAATTAGGAACACACAGCTACGTATTCCAACTTCTCTGTTGAAATTTAACTTCATGTTTTCATGGAAAGAGGCATTTTTTTCGTGTGGACTTAAAAAAGCTATGTTACAAAGGGGTTAAGCAGAAACCAAGCTGAGCATTTTCAGCAACAGGAGTTCAAACACAGATCATGGAGTTCCTGCAGACTTTGATCTCTGTGACAGCCTGTAACAGCACACCTGATCACATGACCACAAGAACAGTTCAATACTATAGATCAGGGGTAGGCAAACTCCGGCTCTCCAGCTGTGGAGAAACTACAAATTCCCCATCATGCATCTGGCTCTGGGAGTCATGTCTGCGGCTGGCAGTGTCTTGTGTTGCCACTACAAACCCCATGTGGCATTACATCTGGAGGGCCAGAGTTTGCCTACCCCTGCTATAGACGTTCGTGGTCAAGTACCTTAACCCCTTCATGACTGAGGCCCTTTTTTCCATTTTTGCACCCATGTTATATTCCACATTTTAGGCCTGAAAATGACGTAAAACCCCCCAACATTATATATTTTCTGAATGCCAAGACCCTATAGAATAAAATGGTGGTAGTTGAAAATTTTTATGTTGCGCAATATTAGCGCAACTCCTTATTAAACCCCAAAATTTAGTGATTACATTAAGATTGGACAGGCTCAGAGGACAACCCTATTTAAATCTATGGGTGAGCAGTGCACAGGCACAACCAGTGATGAAGAAGACTAAGGACTGGAGTAGTTAAACCATCAGAGGAGGCCGGGGTTGTCATGCTGAGCTGACGGTGGTGCTGAGAAGGGCTTCTAAGTAAATTTAGTTTAGATCGGGCTGCTAGGGAGTTCTTAGTTAAAGTGAACTTACCCTCTACAAAGATCTCAGTTACCCGTGAGATAGAGGAGATTACATATAGGATAAAAGTACTCCAAATGAACCTTTTGAACCTAAGTGAGACTGCATTCCAGGTTACCTAATCAATATGTTATGGAGATGCTCCAAGCTGTTTATATACTAGAGGGAAAATGCATTGGTAATTTCCAGAATCCTTCAAGTAAACATTGACCTAGACCACAAAATATGTCCGCCAGGTATATGAGATGAGGAACTCCATCAACCTAATCCTATTTGTGGCTCAAAAAAATTGCACAAAAGGTGGCTCTCCCCAACCCACCTACATTCTAACTTTGGACATCTCATGTTAACTCTAATTTATCTAGGTAAAAAAATTACTTTTCAACCATGACAGTGCCCTCAAAAATACTTTAAGGTGTGGAATGGTTGGTGATCCACCCTCTACCTGCCACCTCCCTCTCCAATCTTGCAATGTAGTTGTGTGGCGGCCCTGGGACTAAAGCTTGAACTCTGTCCTACTTGAAAGGGAGGTTCCGCCTACTCTGAAGTACATGATCTAGGTCTAGCTCAGTGGGTGATAATATAATAGTAATGATGAATATCTGTAAAAAATAAGTCAAGGCAACTGATTCTTGAAGAAGTTTCACTGGACATCCGACCAGCTTTCTCAATTCAGAATGATTTGTACAAACATTTTCTTTTTTTTTTTATTCCCAGAGAATTCTTGTACAAGTCGTTCTGAATTGAGAAAGCTGGTTGAATGACAAGTGAAACGTCTTCAAGAAAAATACAGCAAGTCCAGTTGCCTTGACTTATTTTTTACAGATATACCATGACCTGCATAAATGAGAAAATTCACAGATATGATGGAATGAGAAGGATGTAGAAATGATTTGATAATTGACAAGGAAGGAAGGATGGCTGGATAAATGATGAGTAGGATGGATAGAGAGATAATGCCTCTGGCTTATAAACATTTTATAATCCAGTGCTATCTACCTACAGATGGTATATTGATTTTTATTTCAATTCCTGTAGTTATGGTTATTAAATGGCGTCAACTGAGCTCATTTTATTTGGTTCCCCGATATACAAACGGTGTCAATGCAATTTGCTTATGGTTCTGTAGGGGAGGTGGGTGGATGCACTGATACCGGTTATTCGGTATCGAGTATGAGTACTGATTATTTTTTCGATACTCTCCAATACCGAGTATCGGTGCATTGTGCCCCGATTATCAGGTAGTCGGGCGGCGGATAAAGACCCATCGTCCAGCTTCCTGATTGCCGGTGTTTTAGCAAAACAACAGCGGCTTCAGAGGCTGCCTGACCAATCAGGAAGCCGAGCGGCGAGTCATGAGGTGCCGCTAGGCTTCCTGAACACGTGAAGCTGGCTTCCTAGCCAATCAGGAAGCCGGCTCCATGCTCCCTTGGCAGTGCTGGTCAGAGGGAGATCTCCCTCTGACCAGAAGTTCTGGTATCGGAGGTAAGTATCAGAGCATTTGGACGAGCATGAGTACTTGCCCAAATACTCAGTATCGGTACATCCCTAGCCTCAAATTTTGATTTCAATTCCTGGATTTATGGTTATTAATGGCGTCAACTTAGCTCATTTTATTTGGTTCCTCAATATGCCAACGGTATCAATGGAATTTGCTTATAGTTCTGTAGGGGAGGTGGGTGTGTTAGGTTTGGGTTTTTTTTTCTGTTGGTTGTGTTATTTGTACTTCAAAACTTAAAACCTCATTAATAAAAAATGTTTTGTTTGTTTCATTCTTTGGCCATCTACTTTTATTTTCAAATGAAGGATCGAGTAGAGGAATCTCATTCTCACTGCTCTACAGCGGCCATGAAGGGAGACTGTGCCCAATGGGGTACAAATGTACGGAACTGTGGGGCTGGTGCTACTCAGGAACCGTGTGCTGCAATATTGTCGTCTGAGTAAAATATATATCGCCACGTACAGCCTGGGCAATGGTATGGTAATAGTAAAGCAACCTTGGTACAGTTTATTATATTTTCAATATTTGCACAACATCAATGAATTAATCCTATACCTGTTTAATGAACCTGGTGTTGCAAACAGGTCAATGGCGGCAGTGGTGTTTATACTGCCTGCTGAGGAGGACACGGGGGAGGAGGCAGTCGTAGAGGCGTTGTGAGGTTTTTTGGAAAGCTCCTTTAGACGCTGCTCCTTGAAGGAAATCGAGACATCCACAATAAGCAGTTATGCCAGAAAAACACACAAACGGATTACATTTGCCAACAAGAAAATTGCTGCAATTTCACGAGTATATTGTTATGAATAGAAACGTAATTGCATACTTCAGAAATCACCTTTAAAGCTTTCAATCGAGCCTGTTCTTCCTCAAGCGCTGCCTGCTTTTCCCTTTCATCCACTCTGGTGAGGGAGAGGCCTGTGCTCGCGAGCGATGAGACTGCATTGGAAAGTGTGGTAGCCCTGCGATGAGAACAGAAGAGTTCAGAAATGATAAAACCCCAACAGGATGACATTTATTGTGCGAAAACAACGAGGGGAATTTACTAAAACTACAGCAGACAGAACCTGGAGCTACTGTGCATGACAACCAATCAACTTCCAGCGTTCATTTTCAAAGATTACCTGAAAGCTGAAGATAGAAGCTGATTGGTTGCCATGTACAGCTGCCTCTATTTTAGTAAATTCATCCCTAGAAATACACTTTTTAATTAAAAATTTGTCTTATCTCCTGTGGTCTGTTTCAGACGACACTTCCTATATACATTTAATAGTTTAAAACTCAGCTGCACACCTATTTTGAACCAGCTTCCTGATAGTGACAATGGTGAACTGTCATGCCTGTTCAATATCCATCAGCATAACCACTTATAATCTGCACTGGGAGATGTGGGATAGGGTGACAACTATGGAAAATAACAGTCAACCTAACAGGAAGTGCCAGAATGAGGATCTTCATGGCAGGATAACCAGGTGTCATTTAATGAAAGCTGCAGGGGTGCCGAGACTGTGCTTTGAGTGTGGCTGTAGTTCTCCTTAGGGTCACATTTACTAATGTCCTGTGACCCTAAAGAGAACTACGGCCATACTCTAGCCTACGGCTTACTAATACCCTCCTGTGACCCTAAAGAGAACTACGGCCATACTCTAGCCTACGGCTTACTAATACCCTCCTGTGACCCTAAAGAGAAGTACGGTCATACTCCAACCAACGGCTTACTAATACCCTCCTGTGACCCTAAAGAGAAGTACGGTCATACTCTAGCCTACGGCTGCTGTAGCCTAAAGCTGTATGCAGAGCTTTGGGTCACAGGAGGACATTTACTAATGTCCTCCTGTGACCAAAAACTCAGCATATAGCAGGCTATTGCCTGCTATATGCTGACTGTGCAGAGCCACACAGCAGTCTGGATCCACCCGCCCGTCTGATTGACAGAGGACTCTGCCTCTTTAGAGCAAACTGTGCCCACCCCTTCCCTGCCTGTCCCTCCAGTCAACAGAGATGGGTGGGAATCCCTACAGGGAGCGATGACTGTCAGAAGGTTGTGAACCGAGCTATCAGCAGTATGTGAGAGCGTGTGTGCAGGAGCATGCCGAGTGTGCTAGTGAGCATGTGCACGCTCCTAATCTGAAGACTGGCCTCATATCACGGTCTCTCACAGTACTAACAATGCAGCAATAAGGGGGGGAAAAAAGTTCTAAACTGGATTTTTTTGCATTCCAAAAATAGTTTACATTTTCAAATTAGGACCAGAGAATGGCGCTTACATCTGAATAACAGAAACAGACTTATCTCTCTACTAGTTTTTATTTTACACCCAGTTAGAAAAACAATGAGCTGTGTCAGGCTGGGAGCAGTGGGGCATCAATAATGATGCAGCCTTGATTAACACTATCTCCACTAGCTCCAAAATCAATAGCGGGGATCGCTCTGGCAATGCATCAGAAAACGCATTTCATCCCAAACAAATAACCAGTCAGTGAAAAAAAATAAAAATAATTAGAAGGCATCCATATTTAATTGCATCTCATGGGCAAAGTAATCCATCCTGTTGGAGGATGGCCAGAAGGGAGTTGCCTGGCTGCTGCTCCAGGATGTTCGATATAAAACACAAATCTCACATCTAAAACATTTCAGCAAACATTCAAGAGAGACTGCCGGCATCTTAGGATCTTGGCCAATTGTTTCACTGCCAATCAGATCAAACATGTTTCAAAAGAACCAGTCAGGACGGGCCATATACAAGAAGCTGGTTATCCAGTTGTAATAGTTGTGGAGACTTACTTGTGAAATAGTTACATGGTCTGCTAATTTAAAGACCAGCTCCAGCCTCAAAAAATATAAATGCTTTAGGGCCGGTTCCTACCATAAACAGTGCGTTAACTTCCAGAGCGGTTAGCCTTAGGAACGCATTGTATCGCATTCCCGCCGGCTTCCTGCATTCAGGGGCGGGAGGGGGCGTGGGGGTGCATTGAAGTAAATGGCACTGCAGACATGCCCCCCACCCAGTGCGAACGGTCGCACCAGAACGTGTGGCACATCAGGTTGACCGCTTTGGAACGCACTGTTTATGGTGTGTACCAGCCCTCATTGCAGGTACAAAACGGTTACATCATCAACGCTTTCATGGAAGCATGTATCCAATGTATATCCCCAAAAAAGTCCTTAGTATCGATGGGCAAACTTCGCTTCAGGTTGCAGCTACCCCAAGGCTTCTAGCTGGATGTAAGAAAAATATTAAGTTCCCATTTCTCGAAATGGCTTCACATTTAAAGCAGAACTCCGGGGATAATCAAATATTAACCCTTGCAGTGTTGGGGTAGCCCAACTGCAAGGTTTGATTGTTTTGCCTAAAGTTATACTCACCCAAACCATGATCCCAGCTTGCTCTTAGACTGGTCCCTTCAGCCTCTCTCCCCCTCCACTCCAATGGTCTAAGGTCCTGCGAGTCACCACGTCCGATAGAGTGTATAGAATTGTGAGGATGACGAAGGACATACCTTTGCTGGAGCGGGAGGAGAAGAGAGGTTGCAGGAAGCCGTTTAACAGCAAGCCGGGATCACGGGTCTGGTGAGTATAACTGTTATTTTAGCTCCCTAGCCAAAATGAGCACTGATTTGATCTGATTTGCCCGGAGATCCTCTTTAACCCAGAACCAACTAGCCTACCCTCTCCAGATCCCCACGTTCCCCAGTCGCTTAATGTCGTCGTCGTCCCCCCTCCCTGAGAGCAATGGCCTCCAACATAATTTACGGGTTAATAAACAGCTCTTTCCATATCATCCAGGATAAAGTTTTCCCACCTGCTCGCTGCTGTGGAGTCTTTGATTTTCTTCCCTTCTAGAGAGGCAAGATGTTGTTCCAGGGCATCGAGCAAACTGCTTGGAGCCTGTTGAAATAAAAGAACTAAATAGTATTCAAACCAACAAAACAGCCATTAATGTTTGCACATCATTCGTACACAGGAGAGGCAAGCTGTGCTGACCCCCCATATTTCTGAGGATGCAGGTTCCCCAGACAAAAAACCCAAAAAAACTTTTTCTCAAAATGAAGAGACACCCGAAGACGCTAAACCCTGACACTAAAGCCTTTACCTCCCTTTCACTAAAATTCACATCAGCAAACATATTATTGTCTTTCCTCTTCCTAATCCTCTTGGGCATTAGTGATGTAATCGTGCCCAAAGGTTGTGAAGATTACATCAGCAGAGCATTGCTGGGAAATCTCATCTGTAATCTCAGGAGATCTCAGGGAAAGGCATTTTCCTCCTCTGAGATGGTGTGCGTGGTCACATGTTCTAGTCACATGTGCCAGAGTTCCGGAAGTAAAGGGAGATCTGCCCTTAGTAAAAATGGCCACTGTGAGAATAATGGAGCGGAAAAGAAAAATAATAAGGTATAAAGAATAAAAAGTCAGCCATTATCTCTATTTATCTGTTTGACGACTGCCTACTAAACATTAGGGATACACCAATACTGGTTATTCAGTATCGATACGTCCGTTAGCATGGAGCCGGCTTTCTGGGCAGTCAGGAAGCTGGGCGGCAGGCAATGACCCGCCTTCTGGCTTCCTGATTGGCCAGGAAGACAGCTCCATGCTGATTGGCCGGGAACCTGGCTTGCCAATCAGCATAGAGTCGGCTTCGCGGCCAATCAGAAAGCTGGAAGGCGGGTCATTACCTGCCTCCCAGGTTCCTGATTGGCTGGGAAGCCAGCTCATTACCAGCCGCCAAGCTTCCTGATTGGCCGGCTCCATGCTGATTTGCTGGGCCTTTCCGGGCAATCAGCATCATGCCGGACAAACAGCATGGAGTCGGCTTCTTGGCCAATCAGAAAGCCAGGAGGCGAGTCATTACCTGCCGCCCGGCTTCCTGATTGGCCGGGAAGCAGGCTCCCGTGTTCCCTTGCTGCACTGCCAGTCAGAGGAAATCTCCTTCTGACCAGAAGTTCCGGTACCAGGGGTAAGTATCAGAGCATTTGGGGGAGTACGAGTACTTTCCCAAATATTCAGTATTGGCACCGGCATACTAGTATCGGTATATCCCTACTCAACATTTCTAAAGGTGTATTTGTTGTCCTATCAAAGATATGGATAAAAGTCTTCTTCAAGGGCTCAGTCACACACAGAATTGCGCTAAACGCGTGGGCTCGGTGCATTTAGTGAATGCTAGGTGCAGGGGATTGCCATTGATTCTGTAAGAAGAAGGAGTGTTTGGAAAGGTGGGGTTTTTAAGGCACTCCAAATGATAATTCAAAATGGTCTTTTTAAATAAAATTTGTAAAGTTTATTGGATGCATGATTAAAAGAAAAAAAGAGAAATTAAACAGGAGCAGTAATGAGCATAGACACTTCTAATATCCACCGCTGTCCTAGGTATTAGTTGATTGGCAAATTATGTACAAACACTCAGCGATCACTGACTGCTTGTACCCGCTCTCCATCCTGACAGCTGTCACAGGAGGCTGGGCAGGGCGGGAGGAGAGCTCCGCCTCCTGTGACAGCGCGGGCTGTTTCCGCCCCCACACCGCTCTCCCGATCTGTGACATTAGGCTGAGCAATGTGGTAGGAGAGACGCTGGCCGCTCATAGCGCTCTCCTCCCGCAGCGAGGACAGAGCGTGGTTACTATATACTCAATTATGAATGAATGGGAAGTTATCTACATCCCCGCCTGTTCATTCATGATTGTGGTTATAGTAAACATACTCTGTCCTCATGTTATGAATGAACAGGAACACACTCAGTATAGAGGATTCCTGTTCATTTATAACAGGGGATACAGAAAAAGAGATTGAGGACTCTGTGTTCTCTTTTTCCATTTTAAAAGGGAAATATCAGGGGTCTGTTTAGATCCCCAATATTTCCCCGAAGCCACAAAAAGTAAAATAAAAATATTTAAATAAGAAAATAAAAATAAATGTAAAGTTTATAAAAAATAAATAAAATATTTAAATTGTTTTGAAAAGTTAAAATAAAAAACATTTTCGGTTTTGGCCTGACTTTTTAAAATTTCGGTTTTGTTTTTGAAATATTCATTTTGGTGAATCTCTAGTAGTCACCCTAGGGCAGGAAGTGTGTTAGGAGTACAGAACACCTCCCTATAGCCTCATCAAGACAATGCTTGAGATAAGACTGCAGAGGGACCTTGGAATGCTGCAGTGAAGGGGGCAGAGGGGACCTAAGAGGAAGCCGGCTCCGATGATTGGGCGAGGATAACTTTTTTATTTTAGCAAGCACTTAACCCTTGCAGTGTGTGTGTATGTGTGTCTGTGTGTGTGTGTGTGTGGGAGGGGGTAGCCCCACTGCAAGGGTTAAAGGAGAACTATGAGGCGAGTGATTTACACTCATCCTCATGGTTAGAGTTGGGAAGTGAGCGAACACATACCATCGCTCGCTCACTTCCCAATCAAGTCCCTGCAGAGAGCAGTTACCATCAGTCACCACTTCCCACAGGGATTCCCGCCCTCCTCTCTCCGATCCTCCAGCACCGACTGGAGGAACGGACGGGGGAGGGGCGGGCACAGCTGGCTCTGCCTCTAGATAGGCAGAGCTCACCGTCAATCAGCCAGCTGGGTAGATCTCGACAGTATTGCCGGCTGCGGTGCTCTCAGTATATAGCGGGCAGTAGCCGTAATATACTGAGCTTTGGGTCACCGGAGGAGGTTACTATATGTCCTCCCGTGACCCTAAAGAGAACTATGGGATAAAAAAAAAAGGTTACACCATAGTTATCTTTTAAGAACAGTTTTGCCCAGAGTTCTGCTTTAAAGGAGAACTATTGGGTCAGTGTTTTTCCCCATAGTTCTCCTAAGGGTCACGGGAGGACATATACTAACCTCCTCCTGTGACCCAAAGCTCAGTATACCGCGAGCTACAGCTCCCTATATACTGAGACTGCCGCAGCCAGGACGGATCCCGACATTACGGTCGAGATCCACCCAGCTGCGTGAGTGACAGCTGACTCTGCCTATCTAGAGGCAGAGCCAGCTGTACCCGCCCCGTCCGTTCCTCCAGTCAGCGCTGGAGGATCGGGGAGGGGTGACTGACAGTCACGGCTCTCTGCAGGGAGATGATTGAGAAGTGAGCGAGCGACGGTATGTGTTCACTCACTTCCCGACCAATAGAGCCGACGTGTGACAGTTTTGTTGTTGCACGTCGGCTCGAACTATGAGGATTGATTTTCACTCACCTCATAGTTCTTCTTTTAATGTTAAAATCAAACAAAATTGTGAATGACATTCATCGGGTCTCTGACATGATCCAATTTTTTTCTTGCGCATTCGTAAGAAAATCTCCCAGTGTATGGTCACATATAGGGGGGTTTTCTCAAATTTGTCAGTAGAAGTAGACTTTAGGGCCGTGGTATGAATGCAATGCAGAGTGAACACCCTGGCTGTGAAAGTTCCAGATGTACATAAGAAAATCAGTTCCAGTTTAGTACTTTCTAGTGTAAATTTTCCGGTTCCCTTTAGGTTTCTTAGCTTTTATTCTGGTTCCATCTAGAGGCAGAGCCAGCTGTACCCTCCCCCATCCGTTCCGCCAGTCAGCCCTGGAGGAGCGGGGAGGGGGGGAATCCCTGCACGGAGCCATGAGTGACAGTCAGGGCTCTCTGCAGGGACAGGATCGAGAAGTGAGGGAGCGATGGTATGTGTTCGCTCACTTCCCGATCTATTGAACCGACGCGTGACAGTTTAATTGTTACACGTCGGCTCAAACTATGAGGTTGAGTGAAAATAACTCACCTCATAGTTCTCCTTTAATGTTTATATTCATTTTAATGATTTTTTAAATGAACACATACCTGCATTTTTTTTTTACCTATCTGGAGCTCAGCTTTACGCTAAGCTGCCCTGGCACTTTAAAAGTGAATCCTTGATACAGAACACTACTATCCTGCTCGGGAATAGTGCTGTTCAGCAGATAAAGCAGCTGCCGGCAGCAGTTACCGATCATAGAACAAGGATCAATACACCAGGAAAAAAGGGCGCAAGCTGGGAAAATATCAATAGTGTGACTATATGTATATAATAGATGACTGTTCCGAGTGAAGCCTCTGCGCTGTGTGTGTGCAGCTGGAAGCCAGACATCTGGGTCGGCCTTCCATAATGCGGAGTGTTCTCTGGCAAATATTTAGGAGAATGCACAACAAATGTAGAATGAAAAATGATCATCTGATTACATTCCTCCCGCCACGAAGCAGCAGAATATGGCAGTGAATCACTGCACTCCGGGCTTCACCAATAAAAATGTCTGGAAAAAAAAAATCTTTCAAAATTTGCAGCTTGCAAATACAACAAGAGTCTGCCCAGAGTAACAATCTGCTCTTCTGTACATGATTGTAGATGAGGCTCCTCTACTCAGGCGATCTTACTTATAGCAAATATGATAGTTCTAAACTATGACCAGCAATGGAAGTTCAGCTGAAGTGCCATACCAAAAACACCCAAAACATTTTGAGGGTATGCAGACCCTCTTTATTAAAGAAGAACTCCAGAAAATGTTTTATTACCCCATGCAGTGGGGTTACCCACCTCACTGAAAGGGTTAACTGCTCATTTGTTTCTAGGTAAAAAAAAAAAAAACGAAGCGCAAAGCTAGACTCGCCCGAAACTCCAAACCAGCATCTTCTTACACCAGTCCTTCCAACCTCTCTCCCCCTTCCTCTGCAGTGGTCTACGGTGCCATAAATACTATAGACATGAAGATGCTGAGGAAGATCACAATGCTGCAGGGAGGGGGAGACAGGCTGGAGGCAGCGCTGGGACAGCTGGCCGACTCAGGAGCTTCAGGTGAATATAACTATTTTAGCACCTAGACAAAAATGAGCACTTGCGGCCCCACTGCAAGGGTTAATAAATAAAAAAAAGCCTGGCATTCTTTAAAGTGACAGACCGAGATGGGAAGACATGTCTGCCACCCTTGAAATTATGTTTTTCTGATATGGTACCTCAGTAAATTATCCCAGGGATAATCCTTAGGGATGCACTGATTCCGGGTTTTTGGTATAGAGTACCGATATTTTTTTCCGGTACTCACAGATACCTGAAGTCCCATAAGGAATGACTCGCCGTCCTGCTTCCTGGTTAGCTGGGAAGCCTTTTACATGTTCCCTCGTCACCAAGACAAGGAAGCATGGACCCGGGTTTCTGCACAGTCAAGAAGCTGGGTGCGGGTAATGACTCGCCGCCCGGCTTCCTGATTGGGCAGCTTCCCGATCAGGAAGCTGGGAGGCCAGTCATTACATGCCGCTTGGCTTCCTGATTGGCCTGGAAGCCGGCTCCATGCTCCCTCGTCACCAGGTGATGAGGGAGCATGAAGCCGGGTTTCTGCCCAATCAGGAGGTGTAATGACTCGCCGCCCTGCTTCCCGATACCAGAAGTTCCAATATCAGGATAAGCATCAGGAGCATATGACTACTCACCCAAATACTCGGTATTGGCACTGACGCTACTATCGGTACATCCCTAGTTTAAATCCACTTCAACGTCAGCTCTCTCTGACAGATCTTTCCAAAACTCTGACTTCAGATACAAGACCTGATCATTTCATTTTCTATATAAGCAAAGATCAGGGGAACCACGATTGGAGCAAAATGCATACAAAATAAATGACAAAATGCTTCTTTTACCTGAGATAGATCGGGGATGTCTCCTCTGTCAATTCCGACTTGCTAAAGTTAAAAGAAATATAGAAAGGGTTAATTCAATTGCTTTAATGACAGCTGTTCTTAAAGTTCTGACTTTCTGGTATGAGTAGAACCAGCCCATCACTTCTGGGCACATCGAAGCGCAGTGCTCTGGACCGTGCTGTCAGAGACGCAAGCCAGAACATTCCTACTCAGCTCCTGGCAACGTCAGTGAGCTGGGCGGGAAGTGGCACTGCGCAGATTGTCAAAAGTTGCTAAGAGCCACTAGCAGCCTGGGATGGTGTGGCTGTGTTTTCATAACACCTCAACTGTAAAATCATTTAACCTTCTGGAGTAGTACGTGTACTAATAGGTGTTTTCAGGATTTGCCGTTTAAAAATTTAATGAGCAGCCCAGATAAGAGCAAAGCCCCCAGGACTTCAAGTTCACCTAATTCTTTATTCTGTGTACTGCTCTCCATAAATTTTTCCCCCCCCCCCAACACACATCGGCAGCAGCAGTGGAGTGATCAGCCAAACGGTATCCCTTGGTATCCCAAACCGGATTGATCTTGAGTTATGTGACAGGCAGCAGGGAGGATAGCACTCTGCAGGAGGAGGGGGCCACACAGGCTGCCCACTCTCCCTGCAATATCGCCATTTTATTTGTCCTTTGCTTGGAAAAACCTCACATCCCCAGGATTTTAGAAATGTTTCTGTACTTCTCAGCCTAAAACCTAACATTTTAATCTTTTTTTTCCTCTTAAAGCTAAAAGTGATCACCTGGCATACGTCACTGTCACTAAGTGTCACACTTTGTGACAGTGACGGGGGGGGGGGGGGGAATAATTCATCCTTAGGGTGAAAAACAAATCTGCAGCTGCGTTGAAAATTTTCATTGTAAATGGTTAATTTTATATTAATGATAGCATAAAAATATATTGAAATATATCATTTTATTACACTTTCTCTAAACATTTTTTACATTTTTATTTAATTATATCAAGCAATCATTGTGAATTAATCTCAGTATTAATGCTTGATAATGTAATTAATTTGTGGTTATTATTAGGCTGCTTCAAAGGCAAGAAAAGCCAGTGACAGTGATCGTGCAGCATCTCAGGATCAGATGTCACTAAGGGCTAGTTCACACCAAGCGCGTTCCAGGAGCAAAGTAGTTACAGAACGGATCAAAAACTGCGTCCAATGTATTCCAATGGTATTTTGGGCTCTAGTTCACACCGCATCGTTCAGTTCCAGAGCATGTAAAAAAAACTGCAGCAAGCCCCATTTTTACTGCTCTGGAACGCATGCTAACACCCTGAAACGCACTTAAAGACCATTTTAGGCTAAAAAAAACCCAAACTTCTCCACCAAAATGGCCCGGAAAGCGTCATATATGCGTCAAAACATACTGCACTGCGTGTGCAGAAACTCATGCAGATCTGGTCCGCATTTGGTGTGAACAAGCCCTCAGAGTAACGGCAAGAGCTGCAAACGCGGCTCTGTTCTGTCAGACACCTGATTCCTGAAAGAGACCGGGTGTCTGAAAAAGCTAAATTCTTTCATTAATGGATGCCTCAATACTGACCCATCCGTTAATGGATGGTAACAACTGATTCTCAGCGGTTACCAGCATTACAGAAGCGCAAATAACTGATCACGTACAGTGTACATGAGCAGTCATTTGGGCACTTTGTGGCAGGACATACAGTGTACATGAGCAGTCGTTTGGGCACTTCGTAGCGGGACGTACAGTGTACGTGAGCAGTCGCTTGGGCACTTCGTAGCGGGACGTACAGTGTACGTGAACAGTCGTTTGGGCACTTCGTGGCGGGACGTACAGTGTAACAGTCATTTGGGCACTTTGCGTCCGGACATATAGTGTACGTCTCCCGTCATGAAGAGGTTAAATCGTAGATATATCTTGATATCATTGTTAAAACTAACGTATATAAATACACCATGTAACCAGTTGTTTACACTGGGCATGCTACACATTAGGGGTCGACCAATTATCTGCGAGGCCGATTATTTTGGCTGATATTCACAATAAATGCAATAATTGGTATCGCCATACATATCAATGTATTTAATGCTTTTTTTTTTTACTAGTGCTGTTTTTCTATAAAAAAATACTACAAATCAAAACTGAGGAAAAATTGTTTTCTTTACGTTTTTTCCTTTTTTAAAAAAAATATTTTATTTGTCCTAAGTGAAGCGTTAGGTACACATATGTGATATAAATATATAGTCCTCTGAAAAACAACATATAATATGCGTGGGTGCACTTTCTAAGAAAGTATATTACTGATGTGGAAGAATCACACAGCAAAAATGTCAAAAGTGTGTCATTACCGAACTAAAAAAAAGCTCAGTCATGAAGGGGTTAAAAAGCACACGGTAAGCAGATATGTCCTACAAGAACAACACGCAAAGTGAGAAAGCTGAAATCATAGTCCCTCCGGCCTTCAATAAAAGCCATGTGATCGCACGTACCTCAGCAACTTTTAAAAACTCGGAAATCCGTGTCATTCTGGTGAGGAACTTCTTGTAAATATCCAACCCGTCCTTACACTGGTTCTTCTTCATATCAAAATATTTTTCTAGGAGAGAAGATTGGGGAGAACTTTGGGGTAAAACCACTTGACAACAAAGTCAGTAAGGTGTATGTATAGTATAGAAAGTGCACATAGATCAAAGCACATATTCTTTAACTTAGAGAAGTCCTCTCTCTGCGGAGAAGAGCCCCATAGAAGTCTATAAAGCTCAGCTCCCTGCACCAACTGGCATAGGATGGAGGTGGATGAACCACACAGGGGTCTACGAGGCTCTCCCTTGCCGGTGAAATGTGCCAGTCTATGACCACCTTCAGATCCACATGGCAAAACAGGTACTTCTGTTTCTGCAGGTTTTACTATTTAATCCCATCGGATAGAATAGCTTTTGGCTTATATGAAAACATATCTTCAAGGATGGAAACTAGGGATGCACCGATACCGGTATTTCAGTATCGGGTAACAATATTTCTTTTTCAGTACTCGCCGATACCAATACCGGAAGTCCCATTAAGGATGTCAGGCGGCGTGTAAAGACTCCCCCACCCGGCTTCACGATTAGCAGGGAAGCCATCCCCATGCTTCTCGTCACTAGGTGATGAGAAAGTATGGAGCTGGCTTTCTGGCCAATCAGGAAGCCAAGCGCTGTGTAATGACGCAAAGCCCGGATTCCTGATTGGTCGGGAAGCCGGCTCCATGGTTCCTTGATCTCAATACAAATGAACTAAATATGAGATTGTAGTCCATCACAGGAGTGAGCTTGGAACGGTGACTACTTTACAACACACACAGGGACCATGTGGGACAAAAGTAGCCCCCCTCCAGAAGGAAGGACAGTGTCAGCACCAATTCAGAGACGATTGGAGGATCTACAGCCGCGTGATACACAAATAAGATACATTTTTGTTAATAGTTGAGGTACTTGAATGTATTTTTAAGATTTAACTCCTGAGTTTAGTGTCACTTTAGATAAAGAGCTCACACAAAAAAACACAGTGAAAGAAATACCAAGAGCATAGCTATTACCTTCCCTATTCATCTCTGCAATATACTGTCTGCTATAAAATCAGGAAGTGCATACGTGTGCATGCAACGTGCTAATCAATTATCTGGCTACAGGAATGAATATCATGTCTCATGAAGCGACCATAACAGCCCAAGTGACTGACTGCTGTGAAGACTAGACACCTCTGATGACGGCTTTCACGTGGCCTCACTTTGCATAGGGTAATTCATACTGATATCACTTGTCGAAAGAGAAAAACGTTCTGCCCTCAGGTTTTCCGCCACGTAACAAATGTTTCAGAATGACACATCAGTTTTATTTACCTAACAAATTAATTATCCCTTCGTTGTATGCGGCAAACAATCTGATGGCATCCTTGAAGAGCAGCATGAAAGCAGCATTAATGACTCCATTTGTCAGCTCGTTGGCATTTACCTAGAGAGAAAAGGAGAAGAAAATTGAAATCACTGAAAACGTGGAGATCAGAGGGTGGATACTATAGAACAGGCATGGTCCCACTCCCAAAAGATCCTTCTATAACCATATACACGCAGACCACCTATAGATCCTTCTATACACACACGCAGACCACCTATAGATCCTTCTATAACCACACACACGCAGACCACCTATAGATCCTTCTATAACCACACACACGCAGACCACCTATAGATCCTTCTATAACCACACACACGCAGACCACCTATAGATCCTTCTATAACCACACACACGCAGACCACCTCACCAGGCACATTAAAAGTGAGAAGCAGCCGTCAGATATCTCCAGCACTGGCTTATTTTGGGGGTCCCAACAATCTGCCAAAAACATTAAAGCCCGTGACACACTGCACATGAGGCCGTGCAGAGTGAAGCAAAGCTGTCAGGCACGGAGGTTCATGTGCAGTGTGTGAGCTGAGTGCAGGTAGATGAATGACAGCACATTCAGCCAATCGGCACGCGTGTAACCACTGGCTGGACTTAGCATGCTGACGCTCGGGTTTATACACGCGAGCCGACTGGCTGAAGATTACATTTTTCATCTCGGCATGATCAGATATGTGAGCTCTCGCAACCTGACGTGCTGGAGAGAAAATTACATGACACACTGCACGCGGAGGCAGCGCGCCACCACTCCGCTCCGCGTGCGTCACAGCCTTTAATACAGCCAACCGTTGGTTCCTCCAAGATTGGCCACTTGTCTTTGCCAGGTTTCCAATCAAAGGTGGAGAACCCTGCAGTATTGCCTAGATCTGGGGACATTTTACTTACATTGAAATCAAGCAGGGCATCCATTTGGTTCTGTATAATGGGCATCGTCTTCAGCAACTTTTCTGTGTTCATTGTCCTCATGACGCCATCAGCCCTAAGGAAAAGCACAGCAGGATATATTAACATACAGCTGCAGGCAGGCAAGCAGGGGTATTTATTTATCACAGGTATTTATAGAGCGTTGTCAATTTACACAGTGCATTAGATGCTGCACATTCACATAGGTCCCTCTAGGAGCTTACAATCTAAGGTCTCTATCTCACCTGCATACATACATACATACATGTAGCTAATTAATTTAACAGCATGTCTTTGGGGACTGGACTACCCAGAGAAAACTCAGGCAAGCACAGGGAGAACATGCAAACTCCATGCAGATGGTGTCCTCCGATTCAAACCAGGGACCCCAGTGCTGCAAGACAGGAGTGCTAACTACTACGTCACTGATCAGGTATTAGCGCTACATTTCTTTGTAAAATCACATGGCAGGTAAAGCTGGAGGCTGCATTTCTACCAGTGTATCATTATGAATCCTCTTACGTATTCTAAATAAACTACTCCTCCCATGTGCCATTTCAGAAGGAAGCACAGGGACATGGCACTTGGAGTAGCTTATCCCAGCACAGCTGTCTGCACAGCAGCATAAGTGGCACTCTGAAACAGAGGGCAGCATGGCAAATGTGGTTGAGCGGAGCATACGCATTCTGCTGCGATAGCAATGACCGCGTCACGTGGCATTTGCAGCAATTCTAAAATGTTTACACCTGGAATAAAGATGCTGCCTCATACTAAAAAGGTACCAATAAGCATATTCAAAGATTACAATGAACTGCAAAAAGTGCCATACAGGCTAAACAGGAAAAACTTTGCCGCAAATGTACATTTCCCTTTTAAGTCGCCTGACGCTGATCTCGATAAGGGGAAAGGGACAAATACTGGCAGTAGGAAATAATACTCTCATCCATATTTACAGAAACTTACCCTCGCTTTACTTTGGTGAAGTCGAAAGCGACTTGCCTGTAAGAAACAGCCTTCTCGTTCAGGTATCGGCTATAGCGTCTTATAAAGGTGGACATGTCATAACCTGGAGATTGTAGACGATACACATTAGTTTCACACAGGAACTGGCCACTGGTAATCAGCAGGTAGAGGTGGAAACACTTAAGCACCATCAGGAAATGCCAAAGCTTTGCCAGTCACAATGGTGATTTGCCCATAGCTGCAGGGCTCTAGGGCAGGGGTGGGCAACTCCAGCTCTACAGCTGTTGTGGAACTTCAAATCCCATTATTATTGTAAGACTCACACAAGCAGAGGCATGTTGGGATTTGTAGTTAAAGCACAGCTGGAGGGCCGCAGTTGCCCACCCCAGCTATAGGGGACAATGCAGGTATGTGTTCCTCTAAGTGCATGTACTGTATGTGCAACAGTGACTATGAAACCTTACCTTGAAGTCCACTCTTGTCCAAGAAATTGCTCAAATTGAATAAAGTATTCCGGGATGCCAGATACTGGATAAAGCGCTACAAAGAGAAAAAAACAATCAAACACAGCTGAAAAGCAGAAAAACTAAATGCCAAACATATTAAAAGTGATTTTTTAGTAAAGACCTATTCCTCAATCAGCAGAAACTGTTTTCGGCACAATGAGCGCTGGTCCATGGAGGGGCAAATTAGGGAGGTCCAGCACTGTCATCACGGAGATCACAGAGATGTTACAGCCACAGATCCTCACTGAGTTGTGATGCTGCAAGCTGGTTCAGTGTGTTGCTAAAGTGATACTAAGCATCCCAGAGGAGACTACAGCATCCCAGAGGAGACTACAGCATCCCAGAGGAGACTACAGCATCCCAGAGGAGACTACAGCATCCCAGAGGAGACTACAGCATCCCAGAGGAGACTACAGCATCTCAGAGGAGAATACAGCATCTCAGAGGAGAATACAGCAGAGAATACTTAGTATTCAAAGCCCCTGTAAATAAAAAAAAAAATAAAAAATAAAAAAACAACCCCTTAGTGCTGCCTAGCTTAAAAAAAAAAAAGTTTCAATCTGTTTTTTAAAGTTAACATTTTTTTAAAAGGAAAAAGTTTAAAAAAAAAGAAAAAAGTTTTTTAAAAATAAGTTTATTAAGAAAATAAGAAACTATAGTGCCGAGGAGGCTATTAAAGATAGGAGACAAACATACCACATTCTAAAATTGTTCCAAACTAAAATTGTATTTCACTCCATGTAGTGTGACCTATAACTCCAAAAATAAACTGAAATCCCAGACATATGATATACCCATATATAAATCAGGACAAAAATAAGAATTTATTATGAATTACTTTCTATTAGCTACACTAATTATGTACAAATTATTGCCAAAACTGTGAAAAAAAATGGTTTACCCAAAATTGTTGTATTTTCTATTAAAAAAATATATTTCTATATGCATATGTCACAATCAAATTAAAGCCAATTTTGTCCTTTAAAAAACGGCATATAATATGTGTAGGTGGAATGAATGAGGAAGATGGAATGTATGGTAAAAACTAACATAGCAAAATTGCTCCGGTACACAGGAACTAAAACAATTTCTGAAGCTGTCACACCAAGGGGTTAACTTTCCTCTGCAATAACAGGTCAAGTATCTGGTTTAGTACAAATCAGAAGATGAGATTTTCGTCAGTCTGAGAAACATCACCTCCATAAGTCACCTGCCACCCCCAGCAAATGCATGGACCCGCAGGATGCCAGGACAGTAGTTTTATGCCTGGTTCACACCTAGGCGTATTGCATATGCGTGGTTGTCGCTCGTTTTTACCGCAATTTGTGGTAAAAAAATCGCGCAACAAACGCGCGTTTCCGAGGGCTACTTGGCTGTATCCCAATGGAAACGCGCATCAAAAACGGCCCAAAGTAGTAAATGTACCTTTTCAGGCGTGGGCCGTTTTGTAGCGCGTTAGGGACGGGCTGAAATACGTCCAGGTGTGAACCAGACCCATTGAATACCATGGGATTTAGATGTTTGAGCGTTTTGTAGAGCGTTCGTCGAGCGTAGAACGCGCTACAAAACGTTCAGGTGTGAACGAGGCCTTAAGGTTACGGCTATGTGACCAGTCACTGATGTAGAATCTCTCATTTCATATAAATATAGGGAAAGTCAATGGACATAAATGAATATGAAATGTGGGCATCGGGACTGATGTAAATGAAACAAAAATGACTTGACCAGCCAAGTTCATGCTTAACCTGATTCTAGAAAATGATTAGTCACATACTTCCTGCCCTAGAGTGACAACGTTCACTCACTATTCTATATCTATGGAGGAGCAGCAGCATCAACGGAGGCTGCTCTCCTGATTTAGACTACAAACACCTCCCCCCCTCCATTACATGGGCGCAGGGGTGGAAAAATCAACATGGAATCCAGGAGCCAGTCTGACCAATCCAGGAGCCAGCTCCACTGACGACCAGAGGAAATCTCAAAAGCGCCAGCTGTCATTTTTAAGAGGCACAGGCTACCTGGCTATCGTCAAACGCTGACATGGGGGGTATTCTCCCCCTATGGGTAGGGCTGACCTGAGAATTTAGTGAGCATTGATTAGCTCGCTGGCAGATATAACACTTTTAGTGGTCTATAAACCACATCAGAACCCCTGGGCGTACATGCTGCTGCAGCATTGATGTTGTTTTTTAGGGTCGGTTCATACCACAAACTCCGCGTTCCAGTGCGTTTGGCCTCTGGAATGCAAGCCGGCCAGCTCCTTGCGCTCAGGGGCGGGAGGGGGCATGGCATTGAAGTCAATGGCACCGCAGCCACGTCCACTGCCCACAGTGCGATTGCTGGCACCCGGAACGCAGACACTTTAGTGCCTGTGCTCCGGTGCGTTCTGCAAAAATACTGTAGGCACTATTTTTGCAGAATGCACTGGACCGAAAAGCAAGCACTACTGTGCCTGCGTTTCGGGTGATCTCACTGCGGGTGGGGGGCGTTGCTGCGGTGTCATTGACTTCAATGCACCACCACGCCCCCTCCCGCAGGGAGCAGGTCGGTTTGCGTTCCAGAGGCCGAACGCACTGGAGTTTGTTCTTAGAGCAGGTGGAGGACTTTCGAGTACAAGTGATCTGGCCAGCTGAAGAGCCACCCGATCACTTGTACCGGCCTGTATATGGTATGGGAGTTGCACCAATCTGGGCACGGCCAATCAAGATGGTTGAAGATCCCGAACCCAGAAGCGCCCAGGCGACAGTGTCGGCATTGGCGATGGTGCTTGTAGACGTACCATCGCTGAATGGGAGGTAAGGTAAGGATAGTTCCGCTTTAAACATACCAAAAGGAAGCAAATAAGAGAAGCTCATTGTTAAGAATTTACATAAACTCTGAGTGCGGCTCTGCTTTATAGTTTCTGTAAATGAGTAATAATGAGTAATAATGCAAAGGCCAGCTACAATAAAAGGCAACCTATGACTGGAGGGTGAACAGTCACTGATATTAGAAAGTTATGACAATGTACAGAAGATAATGGATAGTAAAACCAGGTGTGACCATTCATTTATCTTGCAGATAACATGACCGCAATGTGGAACATGAACGCTGTCCTTTGCCTCATCATCGACTCCCCTGACAGGGTTGTGTTGTCACTGCCAAGCACACTGTGGTTGAACAGCTGACGATGTGTCAATGATGTAAGGAAACGCTCGTGTAACAAATCATTAACATAATTAGTAGTTTGTACTTTTCAATGTTTAGCACACAATAAGCAGCAGAGTCCTATCTGCTGGGTGTGCGTGCCCAGGAAAGTCAGCACATCAATCCTTTCCCTGATATTAGTCTGCCAGGGTGTGCCTGCAAAGGATGCAGAGTGGCCAAAACAGAAGACCACGTTCCCATCAAACCGCAATCCTCTTTCATCTGAGTGTCTTTGGACATTATCAGGATGGACTCAAAGTGAATGTAAACCCAACCACTAAAAATCTAATAAAAGCTGAAACATGTTGGTGTACTTTCAAAACTTGTCTTCAATCTTTTACATCTGAAGCTTTCGCCAAAATGACACCTAGTGATCCCACCAAAGGGGTCCTTGTTTAGGTATCTCCTGTTGTTAAGGGGTAACAACTGACTTCTTAGGCTGGGTACACACCTAGGCGGCAACGTTTTTCCGCGTTTATATGCGCGTTAACAGCATGCGGTTATTTGCGCGTTGTGCACATTTGTATGCGCGTTTTAACGCGCAAGCATGAAGACGTGCGTTTTGATTGGCAGCTCAAACCGTTGTGGGCAATGGAAGAACGCACGTATAAACGTGCAAAAACGCTCACGAAAATGTACAACATGCTTCTGTTGCGCGTTTTGGGGCATTTCCAATAAAGTCTATGGGGCAAAAAAGAGCTTCTATCTGCCTGTACCTTTTCGGGCGTTTTTCTGCTCAGGTGTGAACCAGGGCCATTGAAACTCGTGGGATTTCTTGTGTTGGGCAGTTAAAAAACGCTTTTCGAACTGCTCAAAAACTCCTAGGTGTGAACCAGGCCTAAATGTTTTCCTGTGCTGTCACCCCGTCCTGATGGAGACTACAAGTGGCCGTAACGACACGTATTGTGCAGGCATGTCCCACTGTTGTCACAATCAGATCCACAGTGGTCTAACAAACGAAATGTTGGCCATTTAGGATTTCAATTTGCTTTATTTAAAAATCCCAGAACCAATGTGCATTTTTAAGGTAGAAAAAAAAAAGGCAGCGTTTACAGGCGCCAATAGGCAAGGCTGGAAAAAGGTAACATGCCAGATAAGAAATCCCTGGACACATTGGTTACCCAGTTCCTGGGCTTTTCTCCCTCTGCCTTAGAGAAGACCATGCTTGATGACTGCACAATTTGAGGGCAAAACAATGCATGTTGGTTAATTAAGTTATCCCCGTAATGATTTACACAAAGAGCCCGCAGTGACAGCCAGTCAGACACATATGTATTTAAAGAGTGATTTGGTTGGGGTTCAGCTTTAATTTACAAAGCCGAGGATCAGGCACACTAAGTGACACTATACACGAGTTCAATCTTAAAAATAAATTCAAGTACCTTAACTCCTAACAATGTATCTTATTTGTGTACCACTCGGCTGTAGATCCTCAAATCATCTCTGAATTGGTGCCGACACTGTCCTTCCTTCTGGAGGGGGGCTGTCTCTGCTCCCCGCTGGACGTTGCGCCGTCAGAGGGGACAAAGAGCAGGGCAGAGAGAAACGAAGGATGCGCTGCAATTTCGGCCGAAAGATGGCTCTTTTGGCATTTGAAGCATCCCTACATATTAGTAAATTATACGTGAGCTTGTAGTCCATCATTGTACGTGCCAGCAAATCTAAACAGTGCTCAGCTGGGGCGATCAAGGCATTTGCTATACCTGGAAGGGTATCTTCAACATAGGTGGCAGGACAAGACCAGTAAGCTGCCATATATATTCATTTTCTGTTCTTGGTAAAGATACACTAACCCTTTCCTTTATGGAGAACCTTATTTTTATTCTACTGACGGTCATTTAAAAGAAAAAGCTGTCCATAAAGATGCAAACACGTAGGTAGCTTCCTCTTCTACAATTGTAAAGCCCACAAGCAAAGTAAAAAATATCCCGTGGCTGAATCACCTCCGTGTGAAGCTGGTGAGGTGTGACTAGACTCCAACAAAAGTGACTTTAAAACTCAGGGTGACTGTCAGGTAAACACCCATTTAATTTATGACAGGAATCCCAACCTGCAAGAACAGCTGTTCCCAGCTCAAATTTCACTGCTATAGTAGCAGCAACTCTTCATTTTTCTTCTTATACACCCAACTCATCACAGCCCTAATAAGCCAGGTGGAAGCAAGAGTTTTGCTTCTTTTTGGCTACATGTGGCTGGTAGACAATGAAAATAGGAGGTCTCAGCAAATGAGCTTTGCGTTAAAAGCTCATTAATTTGAGACATTGATGAAGGATCTTGTGCAGATGGCTGTTGTCATAATCTCAGTCTATAGAGATTTAAAAAAAATTATTTTTAACCAGTTCCCATCAATAAATATTTTTGTGGGTTCTGATGGCCTTGTTTCCTGTGTTTCAGACCTTTGGCCGCTATGCCCACTCCTGCCACTGCTCTGCTGTATTGACCCGCAGCCATGTGATGATGTCACCACTGGCTCTGCTGTATTGACCCGCAGCCATGTGATGATGTCACCACTGGCTTTAGTGGGAGGACAAGGGCTGCTCAGACTCTCGGTCCACCTACATCGCCGGTTCTGAAGCCATTGTTTCCCGTCTTTCAGACCTGTGGCCGATATGCCCACTCCTGCCACCGGTCTGTAGATCTTTATAGACCAGCAGTGACGTAATGATGTCACCACTGGCTTTAGTGGGAGGACAAGGGCTGCTCAGACTCTCAGTCCATCTACTTCGAATTTAGAAGCCAAGGTTTTTGCAGGTTCTAAAGCCATTGTTACCCGTGTTTCAGACATGTGGCCGCTATGCCCACTCCTGCCACCGATCTGTAGATCTTTATAGACCAGCAGCGACGTAATGACGTCGCCACTGGCTGCAGTGGGAAGACTGGGGTTTGCTCAGACTCTCGGTATCATGAAATGGCACAGGGAGACCCACTGTGAATTTTTTTTGATGAACTGGCCGATCTATGCACTCTGTATAGCCTACTTTAGACCATCATGTCTTTTGCAGGTTCGATGACTTGCATTAGACGTAAGGACACCGAATGGTTTTCCATAGCCGGAGCGAAGAGAGAGAGAATTGAATGCTGACTGCTGCATGAGCCAGGATCAGCCAAGTAAAACAGCTTTGAGTCCCCTAGACAAAAACAAGCATTTACCCTTGCAATTGGTCTACCCCCCGCCCCACAAGGGTTATTTAAAAACATTTTTTTATTGCCCAGAGTTCTTTAAAATGTAAAAATCATACAAAAAAGAAAACATTGGATGAAAGCTGCAAAAACTACCCTCAGCAACAAAAAGGAGCATAAAATACTTTAGGTCCAGTTGTATTTCTTGCTGTAGAGGGTCCAATAAAAAGGGAATAATGACTCCAACAGCACTACATTACTGGCTTGTGGGAAGAACCTAAAACAAGCAGCCAGCTGAGAGAAGGGAAGAGCTCACTACATCACCATTATCACTGTGTGCACATGACCAGCCAGCTGTCAATCAGTGGCCTACCACAACATCCTCTACTCTCTTACAAGGAAACCTAATAGGAAAATGTTACCAGTAAATTGACAGATTCAACATTTCCCCACACATCTTAGAGCAGCCCGACCGCTATCAGGAGAAAGCACCGACTGAACTAGAGAAAGAAACGTATTGACTATGAAATCGGGATAAGATTCATGCTCCACACACACACAGGTCTAGAGACCGGTATTCCCACTAGCACCAGATGCCATTCTCTGCCCAGAATATTTGCCTAGGTGTATTTCTACAGGTAATTAAATCAGAAAAGAGCATCAAATGTCCATAACTGTTTTTGATAGGGATGCACAGAAATTTCGCCTAAATATTTCGTCCGAAAATGGTACTTGGGGCAAAATGCCGAAAGTACCATAATGGGCGAAAATTTTGTGCAACCTGAATTTTTCTCTCCACCCTGTGGGCGCTGTTCTGTGTCCCCTCCAATGATCGCTGCTCTCCCCTGTCCGTGTTGGCGACGCAGCGGGGAGGAAAAAAGAATTCAAAAGGCCCCGCTTGGCTCCTGTGACAGGTGGAGGAGTCAGGGGCGGAGAGCGGAGGAGTCAGGGGCGGAGGGCGGAGGAGTCAGGGGCGGAGAGCGGAGGAGTCAGGGGCGGAGAGCGGAGGAGTCAGGGGCGGAGAGCGGAGGAGTCAGGGGCGGAGAGCGGAGGAGTCAGGGGCGGAGAGCAGCTGTAAAGATCGAGATCTGAGCGATCATGAACCGCTGATCGCTCAGCTCATAGTCTTCTCCCTGCAGAAAGCGGTGACTGTCAGTTACCAACCCCTTACAGGCATTCCCCCTTTGCTTCTCTGTTCCTCCAGCGCTGGAGGGACAGACGGGGGAGGGGGCGGGCACAGCTGTCTCTGGCTCTAGATAGGCAGAGCCAGCTGTCACTCACGCAGCTGGGTGGATCTCGACAGTAATGTCGGGATCCGTCCCGGCTTCGGTGCTCTCAGTATACTGTGAGCTGTAGCTCGCGGTATACTGAGCTTTGGGTCACGGGAGGACGCTAGTGCCGGTATATGTCCTTCCGTGACCCTAAAGAGAATTATATGGAAAAACACTTACCCCACAGTTCTCTTTTAAACTCTATGGAGTTAACCAAAAGAAAACCACATTCACTGTTAGAATTTTGTTAGTTTGAGAAACATTTTCCATCCCAAAACTGATCGATTTGACCCCAATGATGATTAATAAATAACAGATATTCGAACAAACGCTGCAAAAACGTTTTTTTTTTTTTTAACAGAATTCTATTGGTGTATGGCCAGCTTTACTGGGGAGAAATGTCATCACAATATCAGCGTCTAAGGAACATTGTGGAGGGAAGTCGGTACCTCGTTGCCATACACCATGAGGTGGTGCGTTGTAATCAAGGACTTGAAGACCACGACCCAGCTGCTGTTGGTCGTTCTTTCGAATAAAGTGTCTGCCAGATGTGGGATGTTTACATTCATCTCATTCGTACACTGGATCAAATCTGAAACACAGAAATTCATGTGAGATTCAAAAATAAAGCAGCAACACATGTTATTTATATCAATCCATTTCTATCATTAAGAGGATCTCCTAGACTTCCCTCCATACACGAGGATCCCCTAGACTTCCCTCCATACACGAGGATCTCCTAGACTTCCCTCCATACACGAGGATCTCCTAGACTTCCCTCCATACACGAGGATCTCCTAGACTTCCCTCCATACACGAGGATCTCCTAGACTTCCCTCCATACACGAGGATCTCCTAGACTTCCCTCCATACACGAGGATCTCCTAGACTTCCCTCCATACACGAGGATCTCCTAGACTTCCCTCCATACACGAGGATCTCCTAGACTTCCCTCCATACACGAGGATCTCCTAGACTTCCCTCCATACACGAGGATCTCCTAGACTTCCCTCCATACACGAGGATCTCCTAGACTTCCCTCCATACACGAGGATCTCCTAGACTTCCCTCCATACACGAGGATCTCCTAGACTTCCCTCCATACACGAGGATCTCCTAGACTTCCCTCCATACACGAGGATCTCCTAGACTTCCCTCCATACACGAGGATCTCCTAGACTTCCCTCCATACACGAGGATCTCCTAGACTTCCCTCCATACACGAGGATCTCCTAGACTTCCCTCCATACACGAGGATCTCCTAGACTTCCCTCCATACACGAGGATCTCCTAGACTTCCCTCCATACACGAGGATCTCCTAGACTTCCCTCCATACACGAGGATCTCCTAGACTTCCCTCCATACACGAGGATCTCCTAGACTTCCCTCCATACACGAGGATCTCCTAGACTTCCCTCCATACACGAGGATCTCCTAGACTTCCCTCCATACACGAGGATCTCCTAGACTTCCCTCCATACACGAGGATCTCCTAGACTTCCCTCCATACACGAGGATCTCCTAGACTTCCCTCCATACACGAGGATCTCCTAGACTTCCCTCCATACACGAGGATCTCCTAGACTTCCCTCCATACACGAGGATCTCCTAGACTTCCCTCCATACACGAGGATCTCCTAGACTTCCCTCCATACACGAGGATCTCCTAGACTTCCCTCCATACACGAGGATCTCCTAGACTTCCCTCCATACACGAGGATCTCCTAGACTTCCCTCCATACACGAGGATCTCCTAGACTTCCCTCCATACACGAGGATCTCCTAGACTTCCCTCCATACACGAGGATCTCCTAGACTTCCCTCCATACACGAGGATCTCCTAGACTTCCCTCCATACACGAGGATCTCCTAGACTTCCCTCCATACACGAGGATCTCCTAGACTTCCCTCCATACACGAGGATCTCCTAGACTTCCCTCCATACACGAGGATCTGCTCTGCATTTGGTGTGAACAAGGCCTCAAAGTTTATTTAATGACGAATCCGGAACAAATATAGATCGCCCAGCAAAGTATCTCTGTGCATCTTGCCCAAGCTCCTGCAGGCATCATGTTTCCTAACAGCGCCAACTCTCTCAGCTCAGATTCCCTGAACTTCCTGTCAAGTGCAAGATCACAAAAAGGACAGAGCAGTCTCTGACAACTGTCCATCTACTTGACTGGAGAAGTAAGGAACAGGAAGGGGAAAGGAGAAGGAAGGAAGAGTGGCCGGAGGTGGCCAGCTGTCACAGTGCTCTCTCCTGCCTGTCTCCTCTCTATTGCAGCAATGGTATGTCCCTTGGTGTCCTCACATCCTATGCACTGTGTATAAAACATGACTCAGGGACCTTAGATCGCTGCAGCAGAGGGGAGAGAGGCTCTAGGGACCACTCTAAAAACAGGCCGGCTCCAAAAATTGGGCGAATATAACTTATTTTGGTCCCTAGACGAAAATAAGTTGACCCTTGCAATGCAGGGATAGCCCAACGGTAAGGGTCAATATAGATTTTGCCCAGAGTTCTGCTTTAAATACAAGTAGATTGTTTAAAAAAGTAAAAACAAACAATCTACATTATAGAAGGATTTTCTCCAATGTGACCCCCCCCCCCCCCCCCACACACACACACACACACACACACACACACACACACACACACTTCTGCTACAGCAAAAACTACACCTTGAAGTACAAGAATCCAGCGTTCCAAACCGGAACAATTGACCGTATCAGGAGGCAGACCTGGGCATGCTTTAGACTAGACAACATGTCAGACTGCTGCAATCTGGTGAGGGATCCGGCTCACATGGTGCGAGTGGTGGAGGGAACAGAAGCCCAATATATAGCCTGCTAATACCCATTACAGCTTCTATAGGTCAACACATACAAGCAGTTTGCTTCATGAAATTAATTTTAAACAATGAGCTGAAGACAAGATGAGCTGGCAGCTGCTCTTCGCTCAAGAGTTCTCGCTCTCACGCAAGTAATTCAATATGTAGGATGGCTGAAAAGCGCCGTCAGCAACCACCCACCATCGCACACAATTAATCCGCACATCCACGGGGAGGCCGCGCCGGATTCAAACACTCCGACTCTGAATAGCAGCACTATTAGGATGAAAATATTTCTCACATTTTCAAAGCAGCCATCAGAATAAAGTTTACACACAAAAGTTTATTCCTAAAAGTGCATCGGAACCAAACACCGCAAACGCGACATATTGCAGATTACTGGTCTGTAGATGTAAGGCTGCGTTCACACCTGACCGTTTTGTAGCGCGTCCTACGCTCGACGAACGCGCTACAAAAAATAAATAGCATTGTAGTCAATGCCCTCGTTCCCACCTAGGCATATTTCAGCCCCCGTCCCTAACGCCCTACAAAACGGCCCACGCCTGAAAAGGTCCCGGGACTACTTTGGGCCGTTTTGTAGGGCGTTTTCCATTGGGATACAGCCCAAGTAGCCTTTGGGGTCGCGCGACTTTTTACCGCAAATCGCCGTAAAAACGCGTGACAGACGCGCATATTACAATGCGCCTAGGTGTGAATGGGGGCCCAAGGGGTTCATTCATGGTTACCCCGACTTTGCTGGATCTCCCGGTGAAAATAAAGGGAATAAAACACTTCCTATCATAGCATGGCTAATATATCTATGGCGCCACCCAGACAACAAATATAGGCTACTAAGACCTCTGCTGTAACCCTTTTGCTGCCAAGGCAAGGCATTTTTTTTGCACTCGTCTTATAATCCACAATTTAGGCTTGAATAATACTTAAAACCCCAAAACATACATACATACATACATACATACATACATACATATATATAAGGGATGTCCCGATTCCACTTTTTCAGGACCAAGTACAAGTACTTCCCCGCATGTACTTGCCGATACCAATTACCGATATTTTCTTAAAGGGACAGGTGACTTTAAATGATCCATAGTACAACTGCATGTTATGTACTATGGATCATGATTTAACCTATTCATGTTAGCAGGGCAGAATTGTAACTCTATTGCTGTAGTGTAGTGGAGGTGTGTGCTGTATATATGTACTACATATACATTGCACACGTCCAGTACACTATAGCAATAGATTTACAGCCAGCCCAGTCCCAGCTTCCCTCACTCACAGTTTCACTCTGATCCCTGTGCCTCACGAGGTGTCTCTTGTAGTCTAGGATCGCTGCATCGCGTCACGGTGCTCAGCTTGTGGGAGGCGCTCTCAATTCTGCCCTCCTAACATGAATAGGTAAAACCATAATCCATAATACATATACAGCACACATGTCCTGTACACTGCAGTAATAGAGTTACAATTATCCCCTGCTAACATGAATAGGTTCTGAAGACAAGATGAGCTGGCAGCTGCTCTTCGCTCAAGAGTTCTCGCTCTCACGCAAGTAATTCAATATGTAGGATGGCTGAAAAGCGCCGTCAGCAACCACCCACCATCGCACACAATTAATCCGCACATCCACGGGGAGGCCGCGCCGGATTCAAACACTCCGACTCTGAATAGCAGCACTATTAGGATGAAAATATTTCTCACATTTTCAAAGCAGCCATCAGAATAAAGTTTACACACAAAAGTTTATTCCTAAAAGTGCATCGGAACCAAACACCGCAAACGCGACATATTGCAGATTACTGGTCTGTAGATGTAAGGCTGCGTTCACACCTGACCGTTTTGTAGCGCGTCCTACGCTCGACGAACGCGCTACAAAAAATAAATAGCATTGTAGTCAATGCCCTCGTTCCCACCTAGGCATATTTCAGCCCCCGTCCCTAACGCCCTACAAAACGGCCCACGCCTGAAAAGGTCCCGGGACTACTTTGGGCCGTTTTGTAGGGCGTTTTCCATTGGGATACAGCCCAAGTAGCCTTTGGGGTCGCGCGACTTTTTACCGCAAATCGCCGTAAAAACGCGTGACAGACGCGCATATTACAATGCGCCTAGGTGTGAATGGGGGCCCAAGGGGTTCATTCATGGTTACCCCGACTTTGCTGGATCTCCCGGTGAAAATAAAGGGAATAAAACACTTCCTATCATAGCATGGCTAATATATCTATGGCGCCACCCAGACAACAAATATAGGCTACTAAGACCTCTGCTGTAACCCTTTTGCTGCCAAGGCAAGGCATTTTTTTTGCACTCGTCTTATAATCCACAATTTAGGCTTGAATAATACTTAAAACCCCAAAACATACATACATACATACATACATACATACATACATATATATAAGGGATGTCCCGATTCCACTTTTTCAGGACCAAGTACAAGTACTTCCCCGCATGTACTTGCCGATACCAATTACCGATATTTTCTTAAAGGGACAGGTGACTTTAAATGATCCATAGTACAACTGCATGTTATGTACTATGGATCATGATTTAACCTATTCATGTTAGCAGGGCTTACTATGGATCATGGTTTAACCTATTCATGTTAGCAGGGGAGAATTGTAACTCTATTGCTGGAGTGTAGTGGAGGTGTGTGCTGTATATATGTACTACATATACATTACACACGTCCAGTACACTATAGCAATAGATTTACAGCCAGCCCAGTCCCAGCTTCCCTCACTC